CTTGAAACACTTAGGGCATATGTCAAAGTACTTGGGTTTGTGCAGAGACACTTGGGATTGTGCAGAGACACCTGGAGATTGTGTTGAGATACTTGAGGATTATGTTAAGGATATTTGGGATTGTGTTAGGGATACTTGAGATTCTTATACTGTAGTATTTGACACAGTAAATTGTACTAGGATACATGAAACTTGTGTAAGAGTACTTGGGGTTTTGTAAGACAATAATGACATCATAGATGTTACCCAATGTCATGTGTCTGTATTATACTTCTAATAGCTAATTAAGATCCTATTTTCTAACTACTATATACTATAATATAACTATGCTAATAACTAATAATAAATATAATATAAAATACAATAATAAATATATAATAACTACTAATAATATAATATACTATGCTATGCTAAAAATCTATTTTGTAACAATATTATATGAAGAAAAACCCTTAGCATTAACAACTGATCCAGCTTTGTCTGCACTAAAAAACTTTAAAATCAAACTATTATCAGAGGAATTGTCTACTTACCTCCTTCTTTACTGAAGAAATGTTACTAAACATCCAAATTACCTTTGTTCAAGATGCTATAGTGCTTCAAAAGATATTATACATCTTCTGAATTGTCTTCAAAACTACTTGCACTTTTCAACTCTAATTAGACATGCAATATACCAAACATCAAATAATCTAGAAATATCTAGTTATGATATAAATAGTTTTATCTGAGCCTTTACCTCAAATCATATTGATAAGCAAATACCATTAAGGATTATAACTAATAGCATCCTAGCACCTTTCGAAAACAACAAACATAAACTCAAATATGCTTTTCTTATTTATCACAATATTATTTCTGCAATATATAAAGAACTTTGGCTCCTATCTAGAGCAATACAACATGATTCCTTTTATCCAACTTCATCACCACTACAAACCTCAGTATTAAATAAAACTAAACTAATTTTATCTTTCTTACTAAATAAAAAAATAAATCAATACATGACATGTAGACAATCTTCTCTTAGTCATCTTATCATAGACTAGAGGTCTACTGACCATTTTAGTAAAGAATAGGTCAAGAGTAAAATAGCTCTTACTTCTATCTCTTCTAGCTTAGTTTATTCAACATGTATCTTATATATATAAATTAACTAATTAATAAAAAAGACAAAGGATAGACCTCTCTTTAAAAAAAAAATTAAAAAAAACAAAAACAAATAACTTAATAATCTTAGACTATTAAAAAATAAATTTATCTACTTTTAAACATCTATTATTGAATTATATATAAAAAAAAATACATCAGCTTGTTAATCTCCTAAGTGGTAAGTTGGGTGTTTTTTTTTTTTGTTAAAGGCTATACTTGTGGTGATACTTTATTGACTTTATATCAAGTTAGCTATTATAACTATTTTTACAGAGATGAGAATATAACTAGTTATATGTGCAACTTTTGGTTGCCTATTTAAGTAGTCTGCCTTAAGGTTCTATACTAGATGCCATATCTATAACCTACTAAGAGATTATCTATTTAAACATTTTGATTATCTGCTCTGTCATATTAGAATCTCCAACTAACTCCCTATATATACCTAACTGATATACCATCTGAGCAGTATAGTACCTACTCTTTTTGTACTAGTTCCCAGGCTGTTACACATTTCAGAGTATGTCATCTGCCAGTAAGGTGCAGAAGGCCCTCTGTTGTTAATTATTTACCTACTTTTAGAACACTAATACAGGCTATCCTTGCAGAGTTCACTTAGACCCCAGTACTGACTTCACAGCATATTCCTAGTACTTTTAGTATACCCTTGCTTTGAATCCAGACTTTCAATTCAGATAGCCCAGAAGGACTGTGACCTGTTCTTGGTATATTAAGGCTAGCCCAATATCCTTTTCTTCTGATCCAAAATCCAGCAGTCTGGTTGGTGATACCTTTTACCTGAGGTTCTTGCCTGCTTGAATTCTTCACATTGGTATCTATTTCCTAGGTCTAGTCTTTACAGTAGTACTGTTAAAGCTCCATGTTACCTCTCTGTTTAGAATTTTTAAGTGGGCTCTGGCTTTCCAGTTCTATAGATTTACATGGTCTGAGAACTTATTTTAGGTTTGCACTGCCCGGTACCAGTTTGTATTCCTCTGTATAACAGGTTACACAGATGCTCCAAACCTGTTAGTCATGCTGATGTAACCATAGTTACAGATATCTTATCCCAACTGATCGACAGAATGCTGTCACCATAATACTGTCTATATATTACATAAATGATTATCCAAATTTCGCTATTAGTGGGTTTTGAACTCACAATCTACTACTTGGAGGTATAACAACTTATTCACTTCATTAAGTCGTCACATCCTTTGGTAAGTTGGGTGTCCAAATCCTATTAATAGTAAAAATTTGAATAATCACCTATGTAATATTTGTATTATGATAATTGTTACTAATGATTTGTTTAAGATATTTGTAATGACAGTTGCATCAGTATGACTGGCAGATCATATGACATCTGTGCAATATTAAAATTATATAGAAAAATGCAAATTAACAAATTAGACAATATAAATACTAAATAAGTTGTTGTAATTATATATATCTGTTAAAATTAGGTAATAAGAAGTTCATTTGAGAAAACTTGACTAAAGAGATAGCTGGATCTTTGACAGCACTACTGTAAAGGCTAGCTTAGGAAAATGAATACCTAGGTCTTAGTAACTAAATAAACAAGAACCTCTGAGTTGAGAGTCTTAGAGGTATTACCAACTAGACTGCTAAAATAAACCAGAGAATAAGGATATTAGGCCAATCTAATATACTAATAGACTGGTTATAGTCCTATACAGGTTATCTGAATTGGGAGTCTGATGAAATTTAGGAATATACTAAAGTACTGAGATTATGTTGTAAAATAGATACTAAGTCTAAGTAAACTTTACAAGTACATAGCAGTTTAATGATTAAGTTCTGATTGCAAGTATTAGTTTTATTATAGTGATATCTAAGTTAGTTATAAAAAGATATAGAAAACTTTAAGAGATTTACCTCAAGAATAAATTAGTCCTAAGGTTAAAACAATGATCTGAACATCTGGGTATAACCTAGTAAGTTAATACAAGTTACAAATTCAGAAGATTTAAAGTAAAACATCTAAGCAGAGATGTTAGATACAGTAATTAGTAAGAAACCTTTAGGTAGACTTCTTAAATAGGTAATATAGAAAAGTTACATATGTAACCAATTGTATGCTCTTCTGTAGTATTCATTGAACCACAATATTAATAAGTAATTAATAAAAGTCAAAAGACCAAAGAGGTTACCTTAAAAAAAAAATAAAAAAATATATAAATACATATGAAAACTAGGCATAAAATATCTTTAATACTACATATTTTCTCTACTAACTCTTATTAATAGTAATCTAAATTCTACACTTATAGCTCTTATAGATAAGTAATATACTATATAGCTTAATAAATTCATACATTTTAATCAAAAATCTTCTCTTACTGAACTTATAGACTAGAGGTCTCTTAATCATTCTAGCTAAAAATAAGTTAAGGATAAATTTATTCTAACTCCTACTTAGTTTAATGTATCAATTTGTACTAATATACTTAATTATATATTACTAAAATAAAGAACTAAAAGATAGACCTTTCTTAAAAAAAATTACAATATTAGTTTAGCTTCTTTTTTTTATTTTTAACTAGTAGTATTTTTTTATTTTAAAAATTTTTATCTCTATTTTTGTCTAATTTTGTTGATTCAATAGTTCTTTTTCTGTATTTTTTTTTTTTTTAATTGAACCTATTTTTTAGCTTGTTCTTTTTGACTGTTTTATAATTTTTAGAAATGAACTTATTTTCAAATCAGATTTTTTTATAACAATTGCAGTAGTGTTAAGCAGGCATAGCTTGTTTTTTACTTAAATTGTTAAGCTTTTTGAAAATTTCTTGTAGAATTAATTAAAATTAATCAAACTTTTTAGCAAAACTTATATTTTCTTTATTTTTCTCATATAATTTGTCTTTTTTAAGAACTTAATGACTTTTAGATTGCTTACTGTATTAGCAAAGCCTCTTCTAGTTGTTTTAGCATTTTTACTAATATTCGTTTAGTGGTTCTTTTGCTAAGTTAGTTGTATTGTCTTAAGCTCTTAATGAAAGGTTCACTTTTTTATTCTTTTTCTTGATAGTAATTTTTTTTGATTAATACTTTTATTTCTGTTTAGCTATCTATTTATAAAAGTTTCCTAAATTCATTATTCATTCAAATTTTTTTTTGTTAATGAGTTCTTAGTATCTTTAGAACTTTTTTTTTTTTTTTTTGGTTTTGTTTTATTATTATAAAACATAATATTTTGTATGATCAATTCTCTTGAAAACGAATAGATTGGCCATTCTTTATACCGTAAATTATTGAAATAGCGGGCATCGCGCACTATTTTGACTACGTGCACGTTATTTCGGATACGCCCAGGACGGGGCGTTACTTCGAGATAAAGTATTAATTTCGAAGCTTTCCTAATATTCACCTGAATTACTGCTGTATATTTGCCATTACCCAATATATTACCGATGAAACACGTTATTTACCAAATACTTATTTATTTGAAGCACACGCTATTTCGGGACGTGCATAGGCGTTATTTCGAAACTATGCTGTTTTTAAGAGGCACGATTTCCGAAATAACGCCCATGCCCGCTATTTCGAGAATTTACGGTAATAAAAAATTTTCAAGTTATAAAGTAATTTATGACACTGTTATATGTACAGAGTTGACAGCATTTCCGTATGCGTATGCTGTGATCTCATGCTGCAGAAATTAAAAATGGGAAGAGAAAGATTGATAATTTTTCTATTTTTAACAAATATTTAGAAAAGCTAGGGTTAGTACATACGTATAAAACACAATCATGTAATACGTACATTAAAATTTCTTTAATATATTACGTGGTAACTACGTATTCTCATCCAGCCACTGTGGCGCACTAATATGGTACACATTTTCCGGATGCTATATCAGTGTGAGAGTGCGGCATTACAGAAAAATGGCATCCTATCCGTAATTAATTTCGGTATAGTAACCTGTAATTACGAACCTGTAATTACGACGACAGCAATGAATCTTCTAGGAATATAACATGCATTCAGAGGGGTGTACATTTACAGGATACATATTTTCAATGGCTCTACAGGCTTGTATTAGAGCATGATAATATATTGCGCATTTAGCTGTATATAACTATATAAATTCAATGAGGATTATGTTTATAATTAATCTTTATGCGTTTGGAGCTTTAATGTTATATATATCTTATAAAAATTTGCCTTTCAATATATAATAAAGGAACACGTTGAAACTAAACATTGATCCCAACATCGTTGCAAAAAGATGCGAATGATAACTAATAAAATAAAGCGTATTTATAATTATTTGATTGATATAAAATATATATACTAGTGCTAACATATTGTTACTAACGAATGCTAACAGGCCTAATGAAGAAAGCATTGGCTAGAAAAGGACAAGAAGGTCAAGATTCCGGTCCTTTGTTATCAGATTCCTTATTTTCTTTCTTTTCTGCTTCGATATCTAGGTAATAGATTTATCGATTAATTGATATGGTGATGTGATATTCATAAACAAATCATGTGACTATATATTTTGCTGTAAAAAGTATATGTAATTTTTTTTTACAAACCTTCCTGAGTTGGTAACTTGATTTTTTCTTCAGTTTCAACATGCTTAAGTTTGTCTTTAATGTCATCTGCTTTATTCTCAATTTCTTTAGCAAAAGCTGGTTTATCTCCGTCCATGCTTTCAAAATTGTAAATATGTTCTTTAAATACGTTATCAAAACTTGTTCTGAAATATTAGAATGAAAACCACATAAATTTATAATCCTACACAGTACAGGAATAATAGTCATAAAAAATAACACCTCAAGATACCTTCGAATTTTTGAAATGAAGAGAAAAACGATTGTGAAGCAAGGGAATTAGCCGACTGATTTTATGTAAAACTTGTCTCTAAAACCGTGTTACCACGTCGATCTACTACTTTTAAAAAATATATATGATAAAAGGGAGTTATATGCATGCATATGTTTCACCAAACGGGAAGATCCCCAAAATTCCGGGAATTAACAAATTTTGCCTAAGGTCATTCAAAATTATAATGAAGCCATAGCCCACCTGATAATTTTACTATGTATGTAGTCTACTGCTACACTTTAATACTGGCACAGCTCGATGAATTCCATGAATTCCAATCCAGAATTTTGGAGATTGCTCTGAAAAATATTGTTTCACCTTTTATATATGTGCACATAAACTTTGCGGGGGCAAGTGCCAAGATTGGCTTAAATAGGAAATATTATTATTTATTGTTTCTGTGTATGTACGAATATATGTGGTACGCAAAGCCTCTCTGTGGCCAAGGGAAATGGAGACTTGTTCGTGCATGTATAACTTTCTCCTAAATTTTTAGGGTTTGCTTGCACATAATTGCATAAAAACTGTATTTCATGAAAAGAACACGGAAAGATCTCGAATTGACACCATCTAACGTCAAAAACGGTTCAAAATACTGAACTCTCAATACATATATATGATTTCCATGATCATGATCAGATCTGATTATATGCTAAATTATTGACCAATTTGATTGGCTGATTTTTACAGATTGATCTTACTATATAGATATTCCACAATTTTTTCACATCTACGTATCGGTATATTTCATTATGGAAGCCACAACGACTAGTAATCCAAATACTTCGAATTGTCCTCGCATTGTGGTCGGTCTTAGTCGCGATCAGGAAGAGCCCAATGTGTCCTCAGTGACCGCTGAAGCTCGTGAATTAGGCTACGATTTTGTCATTCTTCCTATCACATTTCCTAGTTATAGGCGTTTCTTATTCGAACAGCTTATAGGTAGTGTTGATGTAAATGAAAAGAAAATTATGGAAGAATGGAGAAAAGGTCTTCCATTTTGCAGAGAAGATTTAGTAGTGAAAAATGCAGGTAAATTGATTTTATTCTTAAAAAGGTCAATTATCACTAAAACTAATTTTTTTTATTATAAAATTTTAGATGTATCTGATTTTATGGTAGGCCAAGTTTCAAACTGGATTAATTTAGATTCGCCGGATCATAGTATAAGAATAAATTCAGAAGTGGTGAGCCATTTCTTAGGTTTGATGTCCAATACTTCGTTCGAAATATCCTGATCCATTGTTTTTATATTAAAGATCATTCGACAACAACTAAGTTGGCTCGGACACATAGGCATTTCCGCTGCATTGTTACCATTTCCTTCTGATTCTCTAATGAATTATGCGAGATGCGTTAATTCTATTTTTGGAACGGTTCCCTACGTCAATGTATATTTCTAGAATGTTATTTAATACATGTATTTTTGGTACTTTAAATAAATCAGATCATTAAAAACTTAATTTTTCCTTTATATAGATGTGGATTAAGATCCCATTGATCCTTGAAGATGAGATACTGGGATTAAAAGAAACAGTAACATGGGAGCGATGGAACAAATTTAGAACTCTGTGTGAAAATCACGTCAAATTATCTATAGGTGAGCTTCATGAATGTTATCATTTATAATTATCAAATACACACGTTTACACTTTATTTTTAACTTATTGTGTAATTTTCAGCCTTAGAAGTAACACAAAACCTTCCCGAAGATAATATACTTGATCGATGGTTCGCTGAACCATTGAAAGCTGTTATCTTACCGACTACAATTTTTTTGTCAAATGCTAAAGGATTTCCTGTTTTAAGTAAAAGGCATCAGACATTCGTCCGTAAACTTATTAAAGTATGTAGCTAACCTTAAGCGGAAATACTTTTATTGGTAACTAACCACTAATCATAATTAATTGATGTAGTATAAGCCTAATTTTATCATTGATTGTGTGGCTGATGGTCCTAATCATGCAAGCGGCGGACTTGCTGCTTACCAAGAGTATATACATTATTTAAATCGTACAATGCCTGAGTTGACCCAAGTTGAACAATTCGCGTTAGGTTATCATGATTTTTTGCAATCTCCTTTACAGGTAATTTATTTTTACTCACAAAATCATGATTTTATTTAATAATACTAATTGTTCTTTTAATTTGAATTATGATAGCCGTTAATGGACAATTTAGAGTCATCTACCTATGAAGTTTTTGAAAAGGACTCCACAAAATATGCATTATACGAGAAGGTATGAAATGTAAGAATTGGATTTTATTGAACTTGACAACCTATCCGGATCAATCGAAGTATTTGATTTCGAGTTGACTCATTTATTACGTTAGATAATTCCTTATATATATTGATGTTTTAATATATTTTACAGGCAATACATCATGCCCTTCTGGATCATACTAACGGATCGGAAGAAATGATGTAATGCTGATTGTCTTCACTTTATAATATGAAATTAAGAAAACATTAAATATTTATTAATTCCTAACTAATTATTTATTATTTATTATTATGATATGAATATTTAGAGTTATTATGGTCGTGGGTGCAGGCCGTGGGCCTTTGGTCACGCGTAGTTTAGAAGCGGCTGAAAAAGCACAAAAACGGGTTAGAGTATATGCTATTGAAAAGAATCCTAGTGCTTTTGTCACGTATGTCAGATATAATGATCATTTATTTGTCTTGATTACGCAAGAATTGCGTTTTAATATTATTCTTAATATTCGTAAATTTAGTTTACAGAATAAAAAAGCAGAAGTATGGGGTGATAAAGTGACAATCGTGTTTTCTGATATGAGATTCTGGAAAGCACCAGAACAAGTTAGTATATGTTTCTATATTCCTTACTTTGTTAAATGTGTTAATTAATTTTCGATTTTCAATTCTATATGAAGGCTGATATTCTAGTCAGCGAACTTTTAGGTTCGTTTGGTGATAATGAGTTGTCACCAGAATGTTTGGATGGCGCACAAAAATTTTTGAAATGTATGATATGAAGGTTTTTAATTTGACATAATGTATAATGTATATTTACATTTTAAACAACATAATTATCTAAAACTAGTTTTGTAATCAATACATTTAAGCTGGTGGTATATCAATACCCACTTCTTACACGGCTTTTATCTCACCGATTTCATCATCAAAACTTTACAATGAGGTTGCGGCATACAAAGATCTGGCCCATTTTGAGACTCCATATGTTGTTATGTTTCAATCTGCTTCTGAGTTGGCCAAACCATGTCAGGTTTGGCGGTTTGATCACCCAAATAGTAACATTTCGGTTGACGAAGATGGTTAGTTATACACTTTGATAACGATTAGTATATTATTTATCAAACTTCATTAATGTTTTTATAATTTTCATAGGAAATCCTATTAATAATTATCATAACACACGGTACTCTAAAGTGACCTTTAACATAAGAGAATCTGGAATATTGCATGGTATCGCTGGGTATTTTGAATCGATATTATATAAAGATATCATACTGAGCATTCACCCGGATACACATTCCGTTGATATGTTTAGTTGGTTTCCCATTTTTTTCCCGTTAAGGGTAGGTTTTTTTTTTTTTTTTTTGCAAAATAGCGATTATATGATGCATTAATTTAACTTTACTATTTTATTTATTTATATATTTATATATTAGATACCAATTTATCTACCTTCTAATACAAAACTTGATATAAATTTTTGGAGATTAACAAATTCTCAAAAAGTATGGTATGAGTGGTGTGTTGACTCTTCTTTTCCATTAGGTTCAGAAACAGCTTCGCTTAGTCCGTCTGCAATACATAATGTATTAGGAAGGTCAAGTTGGATAGGTTTATAATCAATATACATGTGCATCAAGATCAGATTGTTGTAATTGATATAGTTGTAATTGTTGTAATTGATATATTCATATTAACACACTTTAAACATTGGCTTGAATGATATTTCATTAAAAAAAAATTTTTTTTCAACCTAAAATAGGTTATCTTTATATTACAAAATTTAATTCTTTAAGATATTTTATTTTTATTTCATCGTACTCACATATGGAATAGTTGGCTTTTTTTTACAAATATTAAGGAAAAAAACGTCTTTTTAATACATATGTCTTGATAGGACGATCTAAATAATGAAAATAAAATTCATTCGAAAATGAAATGTTATCATCTAGCAGTTTAAGCGCGTCGATTAGGGTATTATTTGTGTCTTGTGTTAAATTTAAGTAATCTTTTAAATTACGTAGTAATGTTTAACAACAAGCCTTTTCCTAAAATGCACTTATATCCACGTGTGCGTTAATTGATTAATTTGTTTGTAATGTTCTAAGCAAAAAACTCTACTTTTCCCAAACCATAATCAATTCCCGAATTCGATCAAAAATCTCTAAAATTAAGTCACACAAAATTTGTTTTCATAAGTCGACCGGATAACTATGTAGTCTGTTCTGTCTAAGGCTTTAGTGTTACGAAATCCAAGAACTTGGTACAGTTAAGATTTTGTATTAATAAAATCGATAACGATAACGACACAAAATATAGAAATCAACATTCCTTACTATATAACTATAAAGTCAATTTTTTTATTAAGCTAACTTCTTGTGAGTTTCTAATGAAAGTTGTAGAACTAACTTTTGTGATTCTAATGACAGTAAGAATTTTTATAAAATTATAGGAATCATGATTCCTGTATATTTTATTATAAAAATCTTCCCTGTTAATATTCTCCTTCTATCGTGAATTGTCAATAAAAATTTTAAAAAAAATTGAATAAATTATAGATGCATTTTATAATAAATGTAACAAATTTAATAATACAAAATTTTATACATTCAATTGATTATTATTAACAAAATTTTTGTAAAAAATACATATTAATTATTAATAACATTAATAAGGAATCCATTTTAATGCTAATAAACTTTTTTGTCTACTATATCATTATACTACGTACTAATAATTATTTTAATTCAGTAATTACAACTAATAAATTAATCCAATAACTAATTATTAAGCTTATATATATTTTTTAAATTGTTTATTTTTAGTGTTTTTACACCAACTATATTACTGTACTAATTTTTTTTTTCTATAAATCAATTATGTCAAATTTATTTGACTCACTTTTTCCACCATTTCCATTACTACTACTACTAGGTTTTAATTTGGTGTAGTCTTTCGAAGGATCATTATCTTTTAAATTTTTTTCACCAACTGATTCTCTATTCACGTCCAAAAATCTATTCCTATTGTTCATAATATGACCACTATCATTTCTTGCAGTACCAAATTGAAGATCAACATCAATTCTATTTGGATTTATGCGATAGGTAGGTTCAGGTCGAACAACAGCAATACGTGTAGTATAAGCAGCAGAATTTATACGTTCATCTTCTTCATCAATGGACGGATGTAACATACCCTTACTCCCTTTCTTGTCGAGTTTTAAATTTGTTAATAACATTGATGTTGGTTTTGCTAAAAACCAAGAAAATTTTCGGATTCGAAGTATAAATAGGAAGGAGGATAATGTTATACAAGTTGATAAATCTTCAATTATCTATATAATCAAAAGATTTTTTTGTTTTTAATTATTACCAAGTTTTTTTTTTTAAATTTCCATCAGTGAAATTAAAAAAAAGAACCTACCTACCCTTGATTTCCAAAAATTTGATATAGTAGGAGCTGCATTCGAATAAAATATATCCGAAAGGGCTAGGAAAGAAAATGTTATCATTAAGATACACATTATTATTACAACCTAATTATATAATATAAATGAATAGATAAATAAATAAGAATAAATAAATAAATAGTTAGTTAAAGGTTGATAGTTACCTGTCCAGCTTTCCATTTATCACCTTTAGTAACGAATTTATAAATCAAAGTTTCACCAATTCTTTGATGTACTTCTCTATGTGTTGCTAATCCCCAAATCATAACAATTCCAAATAGGAAATAACCCAAATTTACTATCACAATAAATATGGTTTCTAATATAGTTGAGGAATTTAATAATGCTCGTGAATTTGTAGGTATTGGATTTAAAGTCTTTAAAAACGTCGAGATTAAGATAATTATAATGGAAAAGACTAAGACTAGGCGTTGAACATTTGAAAGGATTCGAATATGTGGTAATAGGTGAGTGTCATATCTGATTATTTCTTTGGTTGCTTTTATCCTAAAAAAAAAAAAATTTATAATAATTTTTTAATAAGTGAAAATTAAAATGAAAAATGTTGGGAAAATTTATTGAATACTTACCAAAAAAATTGTAATATTATATAAAACATACATAATGAAGTAAACCTTAATCCTATGATTAATTTATAATTTGTTATCGATAAGCGATCTTCTCTTACACCATTTGGATCAATTTGCAATATTAATGCTGAAGCTAAAATCACAAAAAAATAAAGTCAGAAGTACACCAAATACAGTATATTTCAAATATAAAATCTTCAGAACGTAAAACATACCAAGAGAACAAAAAGAAATAGCAGGTAAAATAATAATGTTTATATTTTTTGAATCCCAGGATCCAAAAATATTATACATTATTGCACAGGTCGTGATAGATATAAAGCAGTATATAATACCCCACACTATAGACCACACAATCCAGGAATTACTTTGTAGTAAAAGTATCCACGGACCCTTATCTTTGAAAAGAATAAAAGGTATTTTAGCAAAAAAAAAAGAGTACGAAAAATAAGAAACCAATTTAAATTTATAGAGTAAATGCATACTCGAAGTAATTTGAATATGATCAATATTTGCATTCAAAGATTGAATCAAAGTCGCATCCTTTTTTCTGAGCAAGGTCAAACCTATACTAACATTACGTAACAAGTCACGATTATAGATAGGTTCCTTAACTCCAGGGTCACCACCGTTCAACGAAGTAAAAGCAATAACTTTTGGGAGTAAATTATTAATATTGAATGAAACATCTCTTTTATGGATGTCGCGTTTTTGATTTTGTAATGAATTACAATTAATTGACTGTTGTTGATCGTAATATTTACATTGTTCATTATTTTCATTACGTTTTTTTACGTCAACATTATTAGTAGGATAAGAAATAGTTCCATTAGGTAGAATTGTCGACCCATTAGGTGGACTAAATTGATTACTACCAGATGGAGACATTATACCATTGGTTATCCATATATTTCTAGAATTAAAGATTATAATAATTATACAGTAAGTAACAATTATACAGTATAATATAAATATTAAGAAAATTTTATAAATAAATAGATTGTTTTTTTTTTACCTTGAGATGAAATCATCAATGAAATTACAACCAAATCGTTGAACAACATCAAAAGGAACTACCAACAAATCTATTCCCACAGGAATAGGTTTAAGCGTACATGGATCATCATCATTATTGGTAAAATTATTATCAATAGTAATAATATTAAATTTTGCGATTGCTAATTTTCCTTTAATAACTACACCATTCTTATAATAATTAGAGAGAGGAATGTTATTTAAAGTATCTAGAAATGGGAAATCAATATTTGACAAAGAGGCCAGCTCAATGTTAGATGAATCGTACAATGATAATGTCGCATTCACCGGATCAAGAGATGCAAAGGTCAAGAGACATAATAAGACTAATAAATGGGTACGATGGTATATTATTGAATGAAATAATCTAATCAAATTTATTAATTCAGAAGGAAATATTTTAAAAGGATTTATGAGAAGGATTAACCGAGACATGATGAAAAATTCGTAACGCTTTTTTATTGGATTGTAAAAAAGAACAGAGTTATAAGAATGTTATCCGTGTACGTGGTGTTGTTCCGTATAGACTGTTTTAGAAGAGACAGGTAGGGGTTAAGGAGACTTTGCAAAAAAGTGAATAACGACAGATATTTAAAAATGCGTATTTATTATTAAGTCATGAAAAAAATGTAGGGGATATATATTACAAGGGGGTAAATATATGCATAAATAAGCAAAAATTTTAAAAAAAATAATATAAAGAAGAAAGGCCGTTTTAGGATTCAAATTCGGCATAGACTAAAAAAAAATGCTTTTGAAAAAAGTCAAACAAAATAATAAAATGGGTTCTCATGAAAAGCACATTTTTTTTAGTAATTTGATATACCAGACGTGGAATCAAGAATTACGCTAGTAAGAAGATATCATTAAGGTTAAGATCTGCGAGAATATGCCAACCTGTTTTATCTACGTTTGTAAAATTCGTAAAGTTTTTTTTCGTTGTTTTCCTCTATGAGAAAGATCAATCAATTTTATTGGTTGACATACCAAATGTGGTTAACTAATTGTGGCTAAGATTTCATAAAATCCGAGTTTATTACCATAAATAATAGTAAACTGTATTTTGTCGATAAATGATCGCTAACTAATAAAGATGCAACAAGCATAGATGATGTAAACAAGTATTGTATATACATAATGATTAAGTTAACGTGGTTTAGAACTATTGAACTTTAATAAGGTAACAATTGTATATATATCGATATATATTGATATTTGATGTAATAAGATAAATTATATCAATATTAATGATGTAATAAGATAAATTATATCAATATTAATTAAGTATATTTATTAAGATGTACAGTCAGTCAGATCAGACTTCTCTATAGTCACACTTGTTATGAGCACGTCATACAAAAAACCTCTTTATAAGCATATCTATTTAAAAACAAATTATATATAATCGTCCGAAGGGTGTGATTATAGAGGGGTCTAACTGTACTGTATGTAAGATGAGCTTTAACATTGATGATGGCAACATAATAATCTTTATTAGTAAGAAATGTTTATTATATATAATAATAATCTAATACGTAATAATCATGTTGGCGTTAATATATTAATACAGTAATATACTAACTCTAACAACCCTAACGCTAATGTCATTGTAAAGTTAATCATCGGTGAAACTCTTAAATTTATCTATGACAACAAATTAACCGTATTAATATTGTATTTTTCACTGACAAAAGTGTATTAGTATTTTTAAAATATTTTAAGGAAATTTTATTTCGTGATCAAAGAACATTAATTCAAAGGCTTATTAAAAATACAGCCCATTCTCAAAGGCCTGTACTAAGAGCAAGTTTTTGGTCCCAAGTAGATGTACAAGTGTTTTACTTTCTAAAGTGCAGACTTTCTTAAAGTTTGGTTATGTCGAAATGTATTTCGAGAGAGTAGAGTCGAATATATGTTTTATAGATGTATAATGATCTGCAGTTGATTCAATACTTTTTGGTAATGTTGACAAATAAATACTCACATGATTTATAAAATTCTTTGTTCCTTTCTGATCTTAAAAGATTCGACTTATTTCATTATTTCCATAACGATAACAATAAAAAAAAAATGCCCGAATGTACGCATCCAACAGTTGGCGTCGGAACATTTGTAATGCGAGGCAACAAATTTCTGATTGGTAAAAGAAAAGGAAGTCATGGATCCGGTATTTGTCTGATATTCTGACAATGAATATATGATTTTCTCAAATCTGACAATGAATATGATTTTCTCAAATTTGGTACATTGTAAATATAAATGAAAGGAACTTGGCAACTTCCTGGTGGTATGAAATCATATACAAGTATGCAAAATGATTCCATTGTAAACATAAACCTTTTAACTAAATTCAACTTTAAAAATCTATTTAAAGGAATTTTAGAATTTGGTGAATCTTTTGAAGACTGTGCAAAACGTATATATTTTTTGAAATTCAATATTTGAATTTCTTTCATCTGGACTTATTTCTCTGTAAATTTCATCATTCTTAGGTGAAGTACTTGAAGAAACAAACCTCGAAATTACCAATGTAATCTATCAGACTGTAACCAATAGTGTAATGGTAAATGAAAATAAACATTACATAGATATTTTTATGCGCGCAGAAGTTGTTGACGTGGACGCTAATCCTTTGGTAATACTTGCTGTTTCTTGAATTTCAATTTCATTTAATGATAATAAAATTTATCTTTGGATAATGATAATAGGTAATGGAACCCAACAAATGTGAATGTTGGGAATGGGTAACATGGGATGAATTTATACAAGGTGGTATTACTGGTACTGAAAATATTCAGGGCGATGAAATTAACAAGTATAGACCTATGTTTCATCCTATGGAAATTTTAATTATTACTAGGAACGGGTATCGACCTTGTTAAATCATGTATCTGTCTTGAGATCTTAAAATTTTATATTCCTAAATCGATCTATTAACTATACAACGTTAATGTTCAACATAGATACTTGCTCAAATTTTTTAACATCATAATCAATATTAGAATGCTTTCAAATTACTATAATCATTGGGTGATCTCCTATACAGAATCTCAAAAATTCACAAATTCCCATTTTAAAAAAAATTAATTTCCATCTTCGTCTAAATTTCTACAAACTTTAAACTAAGGTATCTTGATAATAATCTATTCATTTTGTCATTCGAAGCTATTTTCAAATTCTACAGACTAGTAGGTTTCTTAAATATTGAGATTTACCGGGCTATCATTAAAGAATCTTTACAACTGCTAGTATTAAAACTTTTCCAAATTATCTCGATAAAATAAAATGAAGTGATATAATTTCTAGCCAATCACAGGTTGGTATTTAAACTTGGATTCTGCGTATAAATTTTTTTTTTTTTTACAGGAGGATTAGAGATGGGCAAGTTTAGTAATAATAAATAAAGAACTGTGATACGTACAAGATCTGCTCAGCATATCAATTTTACTTGCCAGATTACAGTTACGAACGTGATAAGTAACAATCACTCGTCATAGGTAATAATATGTATGTGTAGTAATCACTTACATTATTGCCGTGCCCATCTCTAAGGAAGATCTCCAAATTTCCGGGTCGGATCTAGCAATACAAGTTAAGTGGTTGAAGGAAATTATTACTTTCATATAATGTTGAAATGCCGAAAGTTTCTGGCAATATGTAAAAGTCATATAGTTATAAAATGAAAAAAATGCCAATAACTTGCGATCTACCAAACCAATTTCTACCATGGAAGGCTTATTTGGCATAAAAAAACTTTTCATTGTAAGCAAGTCCCTATAGAAAAACTCTATTAACTTCCGGCAATTTCTGCTACGTATTAAATTGGCTATTTTTATACCCTTTAACCACGATTTACCTATTAACTATTTTTGACCAAATTATCAGCTGGGCAGCTTTACTTAATGACTTCATTAGTAAAACTTTTAGTGATCTTGGCGCAATTAATTAATTCGGTTCTGCCGATCATGATTCCGAGGTATTCCAACCCGGAAATCCGTATCAGTAATTTGAAATCACTATCTCCAGTGTGCAGTGAGGGTATTATATTCTAACTATCGCTATAACGATAATGCAGTAATGATAATCACAAGATAATCTCATGTGAAATCTTATGGAGAATGTGCGACCTACCATCCAATCAAATTTCAAATCTGATTAAAAAATTTTTTTTTTTATACCATACTTGTTTTTTTAATTTCGAATTTTGGTCGTTTAATTGGACGTAAGTCACATGTTCTCAATTTTTTTAATCTTGTTGCTAGACCCGCATGATTACGCATGTATGAATATTGATATTACTTTAAACGCAATGGAATACTCCTTTGATTTGTACCGGGGTCATTAGACGTAGTATTTTGTAAAGACCCGAGTAGAAATCAATGACCTCGCAAGATTAGTTAAAAATAAAATTGAGCCTTTTATAAAGCAATCTTCTTTATTTAATATACGTACCCTTTTTGTGGAAAACATGAGAAAATGATCTTTTTTTAATGTTAATTTTTAATTTTTTATCGTTATTATTAGAATTGATCATTCTAGCGATAGTGCAATATTATTAATATTTTATGATATATCGTAATATATTTTGGGGTAGGTAAACCTTCAGGTTTTTAACACATTCTAATAATGGACTTTGATCTTGAGTTCTATTTGGCCCTTTATTTCCTTTATTTGAATGAATAAACATGTTTTGCGATCTGTTACTCAAAAACGACCATTTAATAGATCATATTTTCTACCGTTTACCCGAGTAGTGGAAACTTTGAAAGTTTATTTTTCCCAATCACGTGATTGTTGTCGAAATAAAGTTGAATGAGATACTTGAGAATCCCAAGATAACAAATTGCAACAAATGACACATGAAGGATATTCATCCATCTCGACTAAATCAACCGGTTTTGACGGGAACGTCTTAATCACTAACACGTTAATATTTTTTAAGTATTCGTTTAACGTTACGCGAGCAAATCTCGTGGACCCTACAAATAGTGGTAAAAATTTATTAACCCCTTAACACTAAGTGGAATGCAAAATACCCTGGTATTTTCCATTGCATTTTACGATAATTTTTCTCACCAAACAAACAAACAAACAAAAAAGAAAAAATGTCATCAACCGTCTTATTCAATAAAGTTTTTATCCAACTTAGTCTCCTTTTAGACTATATATCTTCTATTTACAACAACATTTTTTGTATTGTATTTAGACAACGACCTATTCAAACTCATGTTCCCACTAAAACTTATCATCCAGCAGTTCTTATAACTGGTACTTCAGCTGGAATTGGTCGTGAAACCGCTTTTACCCTTGCGAAACTTGGGTACACAGTGTTCGCTGGTGTCAGAAAAAAAGATGATGCAGAAAATCTTATAACATCTTTTCGTGAATGTGATAATCCCAATGAAGGACGAATTATTCCAATTATTTTAGATGTTACAAATAAAGAACATATTCAAAATGCATATGATCATATTCAATCAATCATTGGTTATGAAATTCCTTTTGTTGGTTTAATCAATAATGCTGCTATGGTTGTCTATTTACCCATGGAAATTGCTTCAGAAGAAGCATTTTTAAATAGTTTTAATACAAATTATTTTAGTATTGTCAATCTTACAAAAAAATTCTTGCCTCTTTTAAGAAGAAGTGGTGGTCGTGTGATTAATATTGGGAGCGTTGCAGCTTGGGTAAATTCATCAGTTATGGGAATTTATGCTGCAACTAAGGCTGCCCTTAGAGTTATGACTCGCATTTGGAGAATGGAAACTAAAGACATGGGTGTTCATTTTGCTTTAATTGAACCTGGTATGTTATCTCTATATTATATTTATGTTTATTATCTTTTTTTATCAGCTCTATTTATATAAATATATATTTAATAAATAATTTGATTATTATTCTCAGGTATTATCATTTCCAGATTAACAGATCAAACGATATCTAATTTCCGTAATTTCAATTCTTTTCCTTCACTCTCTCATCATTATTCTGCACCAAATGATACTAATCCAAAAGTTATACCAGATTATGAAAAAATTTTTAAAGCTGTTGCAACATGTAGTGACCATTTTCAAGCTTCCCCTACTGAAATTGTATCTGATGCTATAGTACATGCTTTAACTGCCCCTTATCCAAAAAATACTTATTATGTTGGTATAGATGCTAGAATTTTTGCTTTAACTAATTGGTTAGTAGGTGATGGAATTATTGAAGCAGTACAATCCAAAGTTTTATCTTTTGTAGCAAGTAGATAAAATTTTCTTTTTCTTGATGTATACCTAGTCAGTATATTCAGCAATTTAAATTAGAAAGTTAAAAAGTTTATTTGTTTTATTAAATAAATATATATCTTATAAAGTATATTATACTCTGTATCTTGTAAAGTATATAATACTTTGTATATTATAAAGTATGTCTAACAAATATTTATGCACGTAAAACAATAATGTTGATATGACAAATGTGGACTTGATCATCTGCCGCAGCTTCTCGTGATCAGAGTTTCGGCTATTCGCCCGACTTCCGTTTTTTGTGTGGGTAATTTACTCCGAAACTTTTGTGTATGTTTTTATTGAGATTTTATTATGAAAACTGAAGACTTGTTATAGTCAAATCATGTATAGTTTGTACAATTGTTTTAGATAAGATTTATGAATAATTAATTTTCGACAAAAGACGTGTGAAGGGGATCTAGCTCAGATGGTAGAGCGCTCGCTTAGCATGCGAGAGGTACTGGGATCGATGCCCAGGTTCTCCAGTACGAATTTATTTTGGACAATCAAACAATTGTCATGAACTTGTTTAAAAAAAAAAAAAAGTAGGGTATTACTAACCGTAACCCCCTATGAAAGCACTATATAAGCTCCATGCTACCATATTTTTAAAATCTCGATTTTTGAATTTTTCACTTTTATGATAAATAACGCACGACTACATTTCATTATTGTTATGTATTAATGTTAGCCAACCAGTGTTTAAAATTAATATGCGGAAAATTTTAATAATTCTCTTTTTTTTTTAAAAAAAAAAAAAAAAAAATCAAAAAAGTACATGTGTGATACTTAATCAAATCCGCAGAATCTTGAATTTTCAATCTGTGCTCCGCAGATTTCGCATATAGATTTTAAACACTGGCTCCTTGTATATAATTAAATTTATCCGTAAAATTGAAAAATCTGAAAATCGGGATTTTCCTGAAAGCATTCTAGATTATTTATATGTATGTAGAAGTACCGACTGATGCATCCGGATATTTACAAAGACTAAAGGATATACCCGGGATACTTTTCATATATAATAGATTATCATTTCTAATTTCACACGTGATTGATTGATTATACTTTTTTCGACCAATTTACTTTATTTAACCCAATTACAAATTAAGCATGATATGAATACTTCTCTACATATAACGATTGTCCAAGATAATAAATTTTGAATGCAACATATTTCATTTTTGTGTTAAAGTGGTAATGATTTCACTGCCATTCACGCTGGTGATGAAGATATTGTGACTTGGTAAGTCACAACCTGTGTTAAAATGAATTAGATAAAAAGTTAATGCATAAAATCGTAACTGAAAATAGTTCTTTGTCACAAAAGGCATAACTCAACAATTTTGGAAACATTCGATTTCAAAAAGAAAAGTGCATTAAATCCCCTTAAGCAATTTAAATAAACTTAATTTCATTTGCTTTAATAATTGCACTATATAAAATCTCCAAGACCTTTTAATTTTCCCAAAGAGCATACGAAGTTATACCTACTTATGCTTTTGTTTCAAACCCTGGTTCTTCATGTTTTTAAACACGGTATTCCCATGCTATTCGATGAACATTTTATTTAATAAACCATTTATTTTAAATAACGCCTATGGTGGTTTTGGTTTTTCACTTTTACTTAGAGCAGTAAACACCAATTAATTAACTAGTTTATATACATAAGTGTAAATATCATAGGCGCACTTTAGTAGAAATCGAATCATAAATATAAATTGCTTTTCTGCAAAGGATTGCATCTTCCTTTGAAACAAATTTCGTTCGAAAAGCTTACACATAATCAGTGCTTCTTAATTATCAAAGTTCAATGCTTAGCACTGGTACATGAATACAGAAAACATTACAATATAACATAATGAATAACATATTGATAACGAAATATATCTTTTGATTTTATAATTAAATTAGTCTCGACATAACGAAATAATTGGTAAATTTAGACAACGAATTTTTACTTTAAAGCATACCATTTATTATAGCTACAATGGCAGTCTTAAACATTGGTATGGCTGGGATAACTTACCTGACAACTTAATTACTTGTAACTTATAATGTAAGTTACATGAACCTTATGCAAGTTATAAATGTATGATATGAATATATTATTCAAATTCCAGTCATAATTATGATAAACTTGGTCAGCATTAAAGGAAATTTTTGATAATAAAATTACACAATTAAGGGACAGTTCGCAGCTAAAGAGTAGGAAAATACGATGAGCTTTTACTATAACTTCCATATAGTGATGGAATGCCAAGCATTTCTGACAATAAGAAAAAAACTTAATATCTAGTGATTTACACAACCGATTTTAATGATTTTAATTAGAGATTCACTTAGTAAAAAATATATATATATATATTCCATTATTTCGATTATGATATTTAGTAATGGTTATGCGAACTACCCCCAAGTATTATTTTTGAAATGATATATATACAAATTTCTAGTATAAGTTACGTGACTTAATATTAAACTTAACCAATCAAAAAAAATTCTCACATCATGTGGCCTTATTGCAAGACCATTAAAAAAAAACTACTATTATATACAGTACAGTACTGCAGTAGAGAGCTATAGTTATACCAAATCTCAGAATGAAAACTTTTGTTAGTACGCACAGAGGCAGTTTCATAGACAAAAATTCGAGTTACTGTTGCATTTTTCACACTTACTCTCGAATTTATTTTTTAACCTGGTGGCTGTTCTCAAATTTGGGAACAAATAAAAAACATTGCCCAAGACATTGATAAGTTTCTGATTTCAGTAATTTTGAACGGAAATTAATTTTTAAGTTTTTGATTACAAAATAGGCCTGTTTAATGATAAAATTGGTTCAGACCTTTTTTTTACTTCATGAATGATTGCGGCTTCGCTAATATAATTGGCATATCGATATAGATATATGATACGGTAAGTAAATTTATATTAAAAATGTGATATCGATACAGTATTTAGTGGTTATAAGTGGCTGATTTAATCGACCAGGATTAATTTTAAACAAGTTAATATTAATGTTAATTACCCAGATAAATTTAAAAGGTGAATTGGCTAGAACTAATATGATATTAACATGTTAATTAACCAGGATAAGATACGCTTCGAAGTGGAAAATTGTATATAAATTTAGTCGAAATTATTCATGAAAGTTTCGTATATAATATCCTCATTCATAAAACGTTCATGCAGTTCTGAGTGATGTAAATTGGTATGTTAACAATATCAGAAATTTAATACAAACTTCACTAAACTTGCTTTTGATCAGTATGTAAACCTTCACGCATAGGTTTAGACTTTATGTCAGACTAGCTTTCACTATACCTAACACTAATCAATACTAATTTAAAATTTTCATAACCGAAATTTTCATAATTCATTTAATTTTTTTTCATGTAATCTTCAATAATTAACCGACTCGCTTTCCAAGCAACCATAGCTGTGGGTGCATTAGTATTTCCGCTTGGAATATATGGAAATATCGATGCGTCAACAATCCGAAGATTTTTCGTACCATAAACTTGAAGTCGATGATTGACTACACCATCTTTAGATTCTGGTGCCATTTTTACTGTTCCACTTGGATGAAACGTCGTAGTTCCCTAAACATAAATAAGATGGTATTAAATATTTTATACGAATGACATCTATTTGTCATAATATAAATGTACGAACCCTTTCCACAACAAACTTTTCCCAATCTTCTTCGCTAATATCATCCACATTAACACTCCATTGCCCAAATTCATCATTTATCCCAATTTCCTTAACATTATAAACAGTACTCAATGGTGGCTGCTTAAGTATTTCACGGCATAGCTTAAGTGAGCTGATCATTCTATATAAATCATCTGATTTTTCGAAAAAGTTTAAAAATATTCTTGGTTGATCGAATGGATTGCTGCTATTAAGTTCTAGATAACCAACACTTGATGGGACATTAAGAACTGGTAACATAATAATCCCACTGGTTTTATATCCTTTCATGAAATCGGATCGGAATGGCATCGCTGTTTATATAAATACTATAGTAAATAAATATGGTTATGTAAATTCATGTTTTAACAAAAAAACTTACCAATAATTTGAAAATCTGGATTCTTGTCAAAAAGGTCTTCTTTGCTAGGAATTTTTCCTTCAATGTTAGCTTTATGTATTATCCCAATTTCAGATCCACTACTCCAATGGTGAATTACGTCTGGATCTGATTTTGCTACAAAATAACAACTTGGATGATCCAACAAATTTCTTCCAACTGGCAGTTCTTTACGTACTTTTATATTATTTGCTTCAAGATTCTCTTTCGGCCCAATACCAGAAAGCATTAATATCTTTAAAAAAAGCAAGTAAAGCCGGTTTACTATAACATACGATTACTGCTGCATTTTATTGTTTTTCTTATTCTTACCTGAGGGCTATTAATAGCTCCACTACAAAGGATGACTTCTCCTTTTGGTGCAATAAAAGCTTCACGTACTGTACCATTGCAAAAGTATCTTATACCGATCGCAATGTTTTCTTTTTCATTCTCTTCATCCCAAATAATACCTAATACGTGAGCATATGATCTAATATCCACGGCAACAACTTTTCCAAATTCATATGGTCCTGAGCCTGAATGTAATTCGACTTTTTTTAACGCATCTTTTAAATAACTTTCGGCCAAAGAACACCTTTTTCCTTCTTGGTTTGTAAACTATAAATGTAATTAAATTAGTATATTATAATTTTGGTATGTAATTTAGAAAAACTACATGGAATTTATTATTTTAGAAACCTGGAATACTCCAACTCCATTTTGTCTCTCACCGTTGAAATCTTCATTAGAAGGAATTCCAAGGCTTTTCGCAGCATCAATCAAACCTGACATAACATCGTAGATCCCGTTATGACAGTCTTGCACGTGAAGTAAACCATTAAATCCATGTAATTGTTTAAATTTCTCATCTGGATTTTTTCGTGCATTGTTTTCCATTGCTTTGAATGCTTTTTTTTTTTTAATAAATAAATAAATAATAAATATACTGTATATTCCTGAGTAATTTGAGTAAATTAAAGTAACGAAATAGTACCTTCCAAACAATGATCCCAATCCCAAATTTTGTATTCAGGACCTTGAGCAGCCCAATCATTATACTCTTTCGCCTGACCTCGCCTAAAATAATGTTAGATATATTAAACGATCTACAATTCACATAACTAGAATAAATCAATTTACGAAACTTACATATAAATCATTGCATTCAAAGAGCTACATCCTCCCCAAACCTTTCCGCGTGGATAAGGGATCTTATTCCTTGCTATTTCTTTATCAGGATTTACACGACTTCGCACTTTCTGTTCCTGAGTAATATATCCCCAATCATGGTCATCCAGTTGGAAGGCCTATATTACAAAAACAAAGCGAGAAATCTAAATAAAAACAATGTGATTCAGTAAAAAAGATTTTAACAGAAAACGAATTGTCACCTTAAACCAAGTACATGGCAAACTAATTAAACCATTGGAATGAACATCAGGTCCTCCAGCTTCCAATACTAGAATATTAATATTTGGAATACCATGAATCAATTCTCTGGCAAGCACGCATCCTGCAGTACCAGCTCCCACGATAATAAAATCAAAAATTTCTTTTGTTTTAAATTTTGCGTGTTTATCATGATCACAAATATTTTTCATCCAAAGCTCTCGAATTTTTGCATCTTTTTTTAATTCTTCTTGATTTTTTTCAATTACAATCGGATAATCTCGATTCATTTTTTTTTTTTGTCAATAAATCAATCAACGATCAATAGAATAACTTAGTTATTTACGGATATTTAAATATTTCCGTAATCAGGTTGTGTCTCATGACAAAAGCGGAAGTTGAAACTGCGTTTATTTTTTAAGGTAGTATTAATCCTTTTTCTTAAGAACCCGGTTTCTTTAATAATTGTTTCATAGGATAATTTTCACATGTTGCTCCATATATAGAAAACTGGTCCTGTTTCCGTAATAAGATAATGATTATTTTAACATTGTGATCTTTACATCGTAATTCAAATACGTGGCGATATGTTAAAAAACTTTCCCTTACATTGGCCTCCACATTGTCGTAGTCTATATCACAGTTCATTTTGATCTACTTTTATGAAAGAGGGATGGTATAAGTGGTAACTGATTGTGCCTATACTTACTAGCGAATCCATTGAGTTTTGGGACGGATTCTACGTATTATATTTGGAATTTGGAATTGGGATTTTACTATGTTTGGAATTTGGATCTTACTATGTTCGGGATTTGAGTGGGATTTGTAGGATCTGGAACTTGGGCGTCGTGTATAATTGCGCCGTAATATTTAATGTATACCATAACGATAACATACTGAAACCTGGATGTAGATATTTTATAGTACACACTTCATACATATATAATTAATAATAAAGCGGCATCCACAATTTACATTAAACCAGTATTGTTATATGGATCTTAAAGATAATACAAACATATATGACATTACCTTCAAGGTTACTGATTTAACGTGAATTGTAGCTAAAGACTTTCATTCTGACGAAATTTCTGAAACGGGTATAAACTTTGTAATGGTTAGAAAGATGACTACAAATATGCTCAAAAACAAGAATTCAACTTACAACTATGTAATTCATGTTTATAATAAATTATTATGGATTGGAATCGTTATTTACATATTATTATTTCAATAAGAAGTTATATATTCTTTGCTAATATTCTTAACCTTTTTTATATATAATTATAAAAACTATACTATTATATATATAAAACAACTTCTATTGAATTAAATATTCTCTAGAGAATATACAACTTTCTAAAACAATCTGTAAAGTTTATAATAAAATTATTATTTATCAGGGTTGTCATTGGACTTATTCCAGTCTCTCACGAGTTACTGGACTGGACTGGACTGAAATTCGTATAAGTCCAGT